CGCCCGGACCCCACCAGCCCCCAACTGGCTGGCGGGGCAAAGAATTCCGCCGCGCGCGGGCCCCTCGGCCCCGCGCCGGGCCGGGCCACCGCAACAAAACCCCAAGCCCGACACCGGAAAACAACAAAGTGGCGGCGCCCATCCGTCCATCCATCCCCGGCTCCTCCCTCTCGTACGAGACAAGACAATCGCTCGCTCTCGCTCTCGCTCTCCCTCCCTCTCGCGCCACGCCACACCCACCAGGCCGACGGCTCAGGCCAATCCAAAAGGCCAGCGGCCGCCTAGCGAGCGCGCATCTCCCTCCTCCCCGTCTCATCTCTTGTTCCGCGCCACGCAGGCAGCCAGGCATGAGCTCCTTCTTGTCAGCGCCGCGGGACGCGGACGTCGTCCGGCAGGGCAGGAAGAAGGCGGACGAGCCGGCGGAGCGCGCCCCGGCGCTCGACCTGCTCGACGACTACTGGTTCTTCAGCAACTCCCTCGGCGGCAGCGGCGGCGGCAGGGACGACGCCGCCAAGGGGAGGACCAGGCCACCGCTGCTGCCCAAGTCGCCGTCCACGTCGTCTGGGCGGACGGCCAAGGCGCAAGGATCACGGAGGCTGCTCCGGACGCCGTCGCTCCCGGCGCCTCGCATCGGGATGGACCCCTCGTCGCCCAAGGACAACGAGCTGATAGTGGAGGAGGACGCTGGCTGTGGCGGCGATCAGCAGGAGGCCGAGGTGGAGGACGACGACATGAACTGGAGCAAGATTTACGAGGGCGTCCTGCGCACCAGGATCGCCGAGGAAGGCCGCGGGTCGTCGGCGCTCAACCGGGCGCCATCCATGCCGGTCACGTCGTCCGCAACCATTGGTGACGGCCACGGCCGCCGACCCGCCGGGGTCGCCGAGTCAACGCCGAGCATGCCCAGGCTCAGGCACTCGCACAGCACGCTCGAGAGGCACTACCGCTCGCACACGCCCACCAAGGTACGTTACCAGCTCCAATGCATCATAGGCATCCCATCATCGCCTTATCAGCAACCGATCGTGGATTGGATGATCGAGCGAATGCTCTGAGTCTGAGCTATGGAGCTCAGCTGCTACGTGTCCGACGAACTGACGTGCTGTTTACTTTCATTGCAGCCTGACCGGACGCCGAGGATGATAGGCGGTGGCAGCAGAGCGGAGCGTGGCCCGCCGCGGCGCGACCTCCGATCGTTAAGCGCGAACCAGCAGCCGGCCCTCGTCCGGGACAAGAGCAGCCTACAGGACAAGATGTGGAAGAGCTCGAGCGCGCTGGAGTCGATCGAGGTCCAGGGGTTCAAGGACCTGGGCTTCGTGTTCGACCAGGAGGAGCTGAGGGAGAGCCTGGCGGACGTCCTCCCGGGCCTCCGCGACGACAAGGCCAACAAGCCCCACAAGAGCTCCGGCTCCGTCTCCGGGTCCAGCAGCACCAGCGACAACGACGACTCGACCGTCAACAACGCCAACGGCATCGGCATCGGCGCCAGCAACAGCAACGCCGCGGGCAATGACGACGGCGACGGGGTCGTGCGGCGGCCGTACCTGTCGGAGGCGTGGCAGCACGGGGCGCGGTCGGCGCCCCCGACGGCGGCGGCGGCGATAAGGCTGCAGCAGGCGGACGCGAGGTCCGCGGCGGAGATGAAGGACCAGATTCGCATGTGGGCGCAGGCCGTCGCGTGCAACGTCCGACAAGAGTGTTAAATGGCCACCGCCGCCGCCGCCGTGTGTGTGTGTCTGTGCGCCTCCATGGCACACCTACGCTTCTTCTACACACTCCAGAGATGATGATCAAGATTTGAAACAATCACACTAGTACGACTACGCGCGACGATGATATGACACTCCGATTTTTGTTACTTCCGCCTCCGCCGAAGATCCGACATGGATGAATATACACTTAGGTAGCTGTTCTTCAGGTCTCTCCCTGGTTGATTTCTGAAATAAAAGCATGTGGAAATCATTGAGCCCTTTTGATCCAGCCATTGCTGCTCTTTCTTAGATTTAGCGTTAATTCTCTCCGTGTTTCCCACGGAGACTGAGAAGCGGTACCTCGGAACCAAAGAGATCCTAGGCCTCAACGACCCAGATGAGAGAATGGACGGTTGATGAAATTTCTGGTCACTCTCGCTACCGAATTTCCATCCACGTTGGAGGCGAGGCAGGTGCCAGCTCGAGTTATTTTGTCGCGGGTGACCGAAATGGAGTCCAAATCTTTCTTTCTCTTTCTTAGCTGGGGTTCCGTCCGCGCTCATGGCACGTACGTAGAGGTAGCAGACAATTTGGAAGTGAAGAAAATGCCGCTGGTACAAACTGCTTACACGCAACGCAGGATAAGTTTTTTTTTCCGAAAAGGGAGAATTCCCCGGTCTCTGCATCAGAAAGATGCATACGGCCATCTTATTAACCAAAAAAGCAGTGCGAACATGGTTTCAAGGTCTCTAAAAGTAATAAAAAGCAAAGAAAGCTCACACAGAGCCAAAAAGGGCTAGAAACATCCACTAGCCAAGAGAAGACGCCACAACCGGCTGGCTAAAACTAGGTAGGTAAACTACATGCCTATCCTATTACATGACCGCCATCCAAACCGGTTGAAAATATCTCGAGCTACCATCTCCCATCGGAAAGACCCAGTAACCAAATGCTCCCTGGCCTCCGGCTGGGTGAGTAGCGACCAGGTACGGATCAGAGCCGTAGTTCGAAATAAAACCTGCAAAAAATGGATACATGATATTCTGTTAAAAACCAAATCATTTCTGCAAGTCCAGATAGTCCACATCAAAGCACAAACTCCAACCCGAATGTGTCTCGCTAAGTTAGGCTCAATCCCATTAAGCCATGTCCCAAATAACGCGTTAACAGAATTCGGTGGATTGATATTAAAAGTAATGTGGACCGTCTGCCAAAGTACTTTGGCCAACGGGCAATCAAATAAGAGGTGTTTGATTGCCTTATCCCGATCACAGAAACTGCACCTAGTAAGTCCTGTCCAATTACGCTTTATCAAGTTGTCTTTGGTTAAAATAACTTGTTTATGAACAAACCACATGAACACTTTTATTTTTAAAGGAATTTTGACCGCCCAAACATGCTTAGAGGTAGGAATGGAGTTCGAATTAATAACATCAATATACATTGATTTAACAGTGAATACTCCAGACTTAGTCAATTTCCAGCATAATTCATCGGGTTGTTGAGATAATTGGACCTCCATCAGTCTCCTAACTAAACGGAGCCAGTCGTCCCAACGATTGCCCGCTAGCGTCCGTCGAAACTGAATATTAAGGGGGATAGATTGAAATACCGAAGCAACAAACACTTCACGTCGTTGAACAATACGGTATAAAGATGGATATTGGATGGCCAAAGGTGTCTCGCCGAGCCAAGTATCCTCCCAGAAACGTGTACAAGAGTCGTTTCCAATAACAAACTTCATCCTATTAAAGAAAGATTGTTTGACTTTCATCAAACCTTTCCAGAAAGGTGAATCAGTCGGCCTGACTGTAACCTGGGACAAAGTTTTTGTCTGGAGGTACTTGGCATGAAGGATTTGAGCCCACATGGCATCATTCTCCGTTGAGAGCTTCCACAGCCACTTGCTAAGAAGGTATCTATTCTTAACTTCTAGATTCTCAATACCGAGACCTCCTTGGTCTTTCGGTCTACAGATGATATCCCACTTAGCAAGTCGATATTTTCGTTTAAGCTCATCACCCTGCCAAAAGAAACGCGATCGATAGAAGTCCAGTCTCTTCCTAACACCAACTGGGACCTCAAAGAACGATAGGAGAAACATGGGCATACTCGTGAGTACCGAATTAATCAGGATTAATCGGCCTCCGTATGACATAAGCTTACCCTTCCAACAACTCAGTTTCTTTTCAAATCGGTCCTCGATGCACTTCCACTCTTTGTTTGTCAGCCTACGATGGTGGATTGGAATACCCAGGTAAGAGAAAGGTAACTCTCCCAACTCGCATCCAAACAATTGCCTATAAGCGTCCTGTTCGTCTTTGGCTCTACCAAAACAGAACAGCTCGCTCTTATGAAAGTTAATCTTTAACCCGGTCAATTGTTCAAATAGGCATAATACAAGCTTCATATTTCTCGCCTTGGCCAAGTCATGCTCCATAAAGATAATTGTATCATCAGCGTACTGAAGGATGGATACACCTCCATCAACGAGATGAGGTATCAATCCACCTACTTGACCATTTTCCTTAGCTCTTCCTATCAAAATTGCTAACATGTCCACCACAATGTTAAACAGGATAGGGGACATCGGATCTCCTTGTCTGAGGTCTTTATGTGTCTGGAAGTAATGACCTATATCATCATTAACTTTAATTCCCACACTACCTTTTTGCGTAAAAGATTCAACCTGTCGGCGCCAGGCTTCATCAAAACCTTTCATACACAATGACTGTTGGAGGAATGGCCATTTGATCTTATCGTACGCTTTCTCGAAATCCACCTTAAAAATTACTCCATCTAATTTTTTGGAATGGATTTCATGGAGTGTTTCATGCAGGACGATCACCCCTTCAAGGATATTTCTGTCCGGCATGAAAGCAGTTTGGGACTGTTGCACCACAGAATGCGCAATCTGTGTGAGCCTATTAGTCCCTACCTTGGTGAAAATTTTGAAACTAACATTGAGGAGGCATATCGGCCTGAATTGCTCAATTCTCACAGCATCCGTTTTCTTGGGAAGCAGTGTGATAGTTCCAAAATTCAAGTGAAATAACTGAAGCTGTCCAGAAAACAGATCATGGAACATAGGTAGCAAATCCCCCTTAATAATGTGCCAACATTTTTTATAGAACTCTGCCGAGAATCCATCCGGTCCGGGAGCCTTATTGTTTTTCATCTGTGCAATAGCATCAAACACCTCCTTCTCTGAGAACGGGGCAACCAGAATATCATTTTCAGCAGCCGATAACTGAGGCACATCCTCAGTCCTGGACTCAACGAGGGATACACAATTATCCTCCGGAGATCCAAATAACTGCTTGTAATATTCGGTAATATATGTTTTTAGGTTATCCTGACCTAAAATAGTGCCCTCGTCTTGTTCAAGCTGAAAGATACGCTTCTTTCTGTGCTTACCATTAGCTATCAAATGAAAGAATTGAGTATTCGCGTCCCCTTGGACCACTTTGCGTACTTTAGCACGCAAAGCCCACTTCAATTCTTCTTCACGGAGCAGTTCTTTCAACCTCCTCTCCGCCTCACTTTTAACCTGAAGCTCCACAGGCAGTAAAATAGTGGATTCAGCCTTGATGTCCAGGGCCTGAATGAGAGAAAGGAGTCTATCCTTTTCAATCTTATACACACCACTGAGGTGCTTAGCCCAACCCCGTAAAAAACTTTTCAAATGCCTAATCTTATTCTGCCAACGCTCGATCGCAGTGTTGCCTCCTGCACCTCTAGCCCATTCCCTGGCAATCAAGTCCAAGAACCCCTCGCGTTCGAACCATGACATCTCGAAAGAAAAGGTGTTCTTGTTACCCACGTGGTTCGGCTCCCCTGAGTTCACGAACAAGGGTGTGTGATCGGATATTCCCCTCGAGAGAGCTCGCACCGTAACCAGAGGGAACTTTTGTTCCCACTCCACGCTCGCAAGAACTCGATCAAGTTTTTCATAAGTCGGGTTTGGCAGAGCATAAGCCCAGGTAAACTTTCTACCAGAAAGCTCTATCTTCCTCAGATCCAAGCTTTCAATAATGGTATTGAACATAAACGACCATCTGTCGTCAAAGTTATCATTATTCTTCTCCTCTCTCCTTCTGATGATATTGAAATCACCTCCAACTAAAATTAGAAGTTGTTCTGACCCACAGATTCGAACAAGGTCCGCCAGAAACTCCGGTTTAAGCTCGGGTTGTGCGGCACCATAAACCGCCACCAAAGCCCAGTTAAAACCATCTATCTTAGACCTAACTCGAAACTTCAGCGCCAAGTCACCCATCACTACACTTCGGACTTCAAGCGAATCGCATCTCACACCAAGTAAGATACCACCCGATCTTCCTCACGGAGGGAGGCAATGCCAATCGAAATCAATACCACCCACAAGAGAAGAAAGAAACCGGGGCGCAAAGTTTTCTCTACCAGTCTCCGATAGAGCAACAAAATCTAACTTCTGCTCTAGAGCTGCCTCAGCAAGGAACCTTCTTTTAGCCAAGTCCTTCAGATCTCTGCTATTCCAAAAGATTCCTCTCATGATTCATCATGGAATTTTTTAGTGATTCGAATCCTAGCACTCCTACGAACTGCGGAATCAGGATAGATCTTCCGTTTCCACTTATGTTTTGGTTTACTAGGCTCTGCCGCTCGGTCCTCATAACCGGGTTCACTTAAATTATCAGCATCATACTCGATGGGTACATCATCGTCCTCAGACACATGATTTGGAGGTGCTAGATCCGCACACATATTATCTAGCACTCTAACCCCTAACGCATCAATCTCATCATCATTCATCGGTTTAATTGCTGCAAGATTACGAATAGTCTCTAAGACACGTTCCGCCTCCAAATCTAACAGATCATTGACCGAATTAGTGATCTCACTATCCGTGGTACCTAGTGAAACTCCTAACTGGTTTGCATTATTTATAATCTCCTCATTAGAAAATGCAATAAAGAGTTAGATATGTTGACAGACATACCAGAAGATGATGCAGCCTCCTGAAGCTTGGC